TCAACGTGCAAACTTCACATACGTGCGCACATATGCATGATATGCTTCATATGCTTCATATGCTTCATCTGCTTATGCACGTATGCATATTATGCGATATGCGATATGCAGCGATAGCAGATCGCATACTTCAACGTGCAAACTTCAACACGCAACATCAACATGCAAACTTCAACACGCGCGCTTTATCGCACAATTCGATGCGCGTTTCGAAATGCGCTTCCGCGTCGGAATGAATGCCGTACACGCTTCATACAGCGCGATTCGCATAGCTCTAAACGCGCAATTCGACATGCAATTCAACGTACAATCAGCCGCGGGATCCAACGCGCGCTTTGTTGCACAATTCGATGCGCGCTTCAAAACGCGCTTCCGCGTCGGAATGAATGCCGTACGCGCTTCATACAGCGCGATTCGCACATCTCTAAACGCGCAATTCGACGCGCAATTCAACGTACAATTAGCCGCGGAATTCGATGCGCACTTTACCGCATAATTCGATGCGCGCTTCACATGAATGCCGTACGCGCTTCATACAGCACGATTCACACAGCTCTAAATGCGCAATTCGATGCACAATTCAATGTACAATTAGCCGCGGAATTCAACGCGCGCTTTGCGCATAATTTGATGCGCGTTTCAAAACGCGCTTCCGCGTCGGAATGAATGCCGTACACGCTTCATACAGCGCGATTCGCACAGCTCTAAACGCGCAATTCGACGCGCAATTCAACGTACATGTAGCCGCGGAATTCGACGCGCGCTTTAGCGCATAATTCGATGCGCGCTTCATATGAATGCCGTACGCGCTTCATACAGCACGATTCACACAGCTCTAAATGCGCAATTCGATGCACAATTCAATGTACAATTAGCCGCTTCGTATGCTTCGTGTGCTTCATATGCTTCATATGCACATATGCATCTTATGCGATATGCGATATGCAGCGCTAGCAGATCGCAAACTTCAACGTGCAGACTTCAACACGCGCACTTCACCATACGTGCACACGCACATATGCTTCGTATGCTTCGGCCGCGCGCGGAGTGACTGCCGTACACGCTTCCTACAGCGCCGTTCTTCGCTTTTAAGCTTTGACGATCTCGCTTTGACGATTCCCTTTGTCACTGTGCCGATATACTTTCGAGTTTTTTGCTCTTTCTTTTCGCTTCTTTCGCCTTCTCCGCACTTTAGCGCATAATTCGATGCGCGCTTCATATGAATGCCGTACGCGCTTTATACAGCACGATTCACACAGCTCTAAATGCGCAATTCGATGCACAATTCAATGTACAATTAGCCGCGGAATTCAACGCGCGCTTTAGCGCATAATTTGATGCGCGCTTCAAAACGCGCTTCCGCGTCGGAATGAATGCCGTACACGCTTCGTACAGCGATTCGCATAGCTCTAAAAGCGCAATTTGACATGCAATTCAACGTACAATCAGCCGCGGGATTCAACGCGCGCTTTGTTGCACAATTCGATGCGCGCTTCAAAACGCGCTTCCGCGTCGGAATGAATGCCGTACGCGCTTCATACAGCACGATTCACCTAGCTCTAAATGCGCAATTCGATGCACAATTCAATGTACAATTAGCCGCGGAGTTCAACGCGCGATTTATCGCATAATTTGATGCGCGTTTAAAAACGCGCTTCCGCGTCGGAATGAATGCCGTACACGCTTCATACAGCGCGATTCGCACAGCTCTAACCACGCAATTCGACGCGCAATTCAACGTACAATTAGCCGCGGAATTCGACGCGCACTTTAGCGCATACTTCGATGCGCGCTTCATATGAATGCCGTACGCGGGTTCGATTCCCGCGCGAGCGCTTCACACTGCCCGACAGGCTAAATTTGCGTGCTAGGCTCTGCCGGCTTAATTTTCCTACGAAATGCGTGTGTGACATACACGCCGTACGCATCGTATGCGCTATGCCGTACGCGCTATGCTGTAACGTAACGTACGCCCTTAACCGCCGTGCAACGCACGCAGCGACGGAGCTACGGCTCACCCGCGCGAACAGCGCGCTCTAGTCTGTCCACCAAGTCGTCGGTTCAACCCCTAGCGCGCCGCTTTTTTTCTTTTTGCGCGCCGCTTTTTTTCTTTTTTTCTTCGGCTGCTTCATCGCCGTAGCTCCTACGAAGTAGGAAAGCGGAGGCCTTAGGCCGATCTGGCGTCCGTCGCCGTAGCTCCTACGAAGTAGGAAAGCGGAGGCCTTAGGCCGATCCGGCGTCCGTCTGTCCACCAAGTCGTCGGTTCAACCCCTAGCGCGCCGCTTTTTTTCTTTTTGCGCGCCGCTTTTTTTCTTTTTTTCTTCGGCTGCTTCATATGCTTCATATGCTTCATATGCTTCATGTGCACATATGCATCTTATGCGATATGCGATATGCAGCGATAGCAGATCGCAAACTTCGACGTTCCAACTTAAACACACGCACTTCACGATACGTGCACACGCACCTATGCATTATATGCTTCATATGCTTCATATGCACATATGCATATTATGCGATATGCGATGTGCAGCGATAGCAGATCGCAAACTTCAACGTGCAGACTTCAACACACGCACTTCACGATACGTGCACACGCACATATGCATGATATGCTTCATATGCTTCATCTGCTTCATATGCACGTATGCATCTTATGCGATATGCGATATGCAGCGATAGCAGATCGCAAACTTCAACGTGCAAACTTCAACACGCGCACATATGCATGATATGCTTCATATGCTTCATATGCTTCATATGCACGTATGCATATTATGCGATATGCGATATGCAGCGATAGCAGATCGCAAACTTCAACGTGCAAACTTCAACACGCAACATCAACACGCAAACTTCAACACGCGCGCTTTATCGCACAATTCGATGCGCGTTTCAAAATGCGCTTCCGCGTCGGAATGAATGCCGTACACGCTTCATACAGCGCGATTCGCATAGCTCTAAACGCGCAATTCGACATGCAATTCAACGTACAATCAGCCG